CCTCCCGCTGCTGCTGCCTGCCTCCCTTGCTTCCCAGCGCCCGCCCCTTCTCTCCCCCGCCTCCAGATTCCTCCTGTCTTTTCTAGCTTCACTCTTTCTCTCCGTTTTCTCCCACCCCTCAACCCCAACCCTGGCTCCCTGCCCTCCTCCTGTCTCTGTGCCTCATTCCCACCTCACCCCGCTCCTGCCTCCTCTCCCTGCCCATTCACTCACGGCCCCATCCTGCCTCCCCCTCATGCCCTGTGCCCTCTTCTTCCCCATCTGTGCTGCACTGCCGCCTTGGGGCTCATCCCACCGCATCCTCTCTCTTACTCTCCCCTGCTCCCTCTCATCCTCACCCTGCTGATCCCTTCCTCTTCCCACTCGCTACTGCTGCCCCTCCTCCTCTGCCTCTTTCCCTGCCTTTTGCCCTCCCCCACCCCTGCCCCCCAGGAATATATTCGTCACAGGCTAGAGGAGGAGCAGCGACAGCTCGAGATCCTTCAGCAACAGCTGCTCCAGGAACAGGCCCTGCTGCTGGTAACCGGGTCCCTCAGTGTGCTCTGGGAAGATGCTTTCCAGAGCCTCTTTGCTGGAACGGGATGGGAACACTTCAAGGGAAGGGATTCACCTGTGACATCAAGGGAAGACATTTCCTCTCTGGCACTGGAGGAAAGAAAGGGCATGCCTGCTCTGACTCCCAGGCCACACCCTGCTGAGCCCTGTCTCCCTACCCTTGGGCCCAGGAATACAAGCGGAAGCAGCTGGAGGAGCAGCGGCAGTCAGAACGTCTCCAGAGGCAACTGCAGCAGGAACATGCCTACCTCAAGTCCCTGCAGCAGCAGCAACAGCAGCAGCAACAGCTTCAGAAGCAGCAGCAGCAGATCCTGCCTGGGGACAGAAAGCCCCTGTATCACTATGGTCGGGGCATTAATCCCGCTGACAAGCCAGCCTGGGCCCGAGAGGTACTCACTGCCTCCTAAGACTCCATCCTCCCAGTCCTGCTGCCTTGAGGCCAGGAGAGTTGCAAGAATTGGTGGTTTCGCAGTAGTGGGCACCAGGGAGGGGAAAAGGAGCACGCAGCACTGGTTGTGGGGCTGGAACGCTTGGGGCTGGTGGAGAACTAAAGTTAGATTACAGGGAGGCACGAGCTGGCCCACTTGACATCCCTTCACATCACAGGTAGAAGAGAGAACAAGGATGAACAAGCAGCAGAACTCTCCCTTGGCCAAGACCAAGCCAAGCAGCACAGGGCCTGAGCCCTCCATCCCCCAGGCCTCCCCTGGCCCCCCAGGACCCCTTTCCCAAACTCCTCCTATGCAGAGGCCTGTGGAGCCCCAGGAGGGACCACATAAGGTGAGTCTCTCCCCGTTCCTGTCTAAAGTCACAGACATGGGGTGCTCCACCCTGAGCAGAGGTACACACACACACACACACACACCCCTATACATTCCCTCAGCTATTAGCTGGCATCACAGACCACAGGATACAGGACAGAGACAGTCACCTGCTGCGTGTGATTGTTCCTTGTACCTGTCCTCAGGTTCTAGGAACCACTTTTTCTTCAATGGGAGAAGGGGCAAGTAATGCCCCTTCCCAGCCCAGACCCTGACTTACAGATGGGGAAGTGCCATGGAGCGGGCAGCCCACCCTCCCTGGTCTCTCCCTGCAGAGCCTGGTGGCACACCGGGTCCCACTGAAGCCATATGCAGCACCTGTGCCCCGATCCCAGTCCCTGCAGGACCAGCCTACCCGAAACCTGGCTGCCTTCCCAGCCTCCCATGACCCCGACCCGGCTATCCCCACACCTACTGCCACGCCCAGTGCCCGAGGAGCTGTCATCCGCCAGAATTCAGACCCCACCTCTGAAGGGCCTGGTCCCAGCCCGAACCCCCCAGCCTGGGTCCGGTCAGATAACGAGGCCCCACCCAAGGTAAGGACAGCCCTGTAGGACTTGGGAAAAGTGAAGAAATAGTAAGGGGCAGAAAAAGAGGGAGCGTGGAGGGGCAGGCAAAGTGGAGACAGGGTTCAGGGTGGGAAGGAAATAAAAAACTAAGGTGTCTTCCGTGGTGCCTGCCCTGCATGCAGGGGTTAATTGGGTGGCAGGTACTTGGATGTGTCGTGTTGATCCCATGGAGTGTGTGGGAATAGAAAAACATCCAGGGTGTTTCAGGAGCACTAAGGGGCAGATGATCTGGGTTAGAATCCTAGCTCTGCTCTTTCCCAGCTTTGTAACCTTAGACATATTCATTGACTTCCCTGAACCTCAGTTTGCTCACTTATAAAAACTGGGAGTACACCTCTCAGGACTGTGATGAGGATAGATGTCTGTAGCGTTATCAGACCTCTCCTTCTCATTCGCTCTGCAGGTGCCTCAGAGGACCTCATCTATCGCCACTGCCCTTAACACCAGTGGGGCCGGAGGGTCCCGGCCGGCCCAGGCTGTCCGTGCCAGGTAATGCCTAGGTGGGGTCTAGGGGCAGCCTAGGGAATAAGGGAGCATAGGAGACTTTACCAGGTTCCCCACTTAGGGGTGGGCAAGCCCCAGCCCAATCACCTCAGCCCCCTCCCGCCCCCCGGCACCCCTGTGCTCCCTCCACAGACCTCGCAGCAACTCCGCCTGGCAAATCTATCTGCAAAGGCGGGCAGAGCGGGGCACCCCCAAGCCTCCAGGGCCCCCTGCTCAGCCCCCTGGCCCGCCCAACGCCTCTAGGTAATGGAGTTGTCCCCCTACTCACTCCCACCTCTCACTTCTGCCACCTGTTTCCCCGGTGACGGTTCCCTCTGCAGTGCAGCTCAACGCCCCAGGGAGGGGAACACCTTGTCTCCCTGACCCTGACTCTGCCCCTCCGCAGTAACCCTGACCTCAGGAGGAGCGACCCTGGCTGGGAGCGCTCGGACAGTGTCCTCCCGGCCTCTCACGGGCACCTCCCCCAGGCTGGTTCACTGGAGCGGAACCGTGTGGGAGGTATGTGAGCCAGGGCCGGGACACCCACAGGAGCAGGGAGGGCCTGGGTGGGCATGGATCATGTTGCAGAGCTCTGGGGCTCAGGGTCGAGGAGTCAGCCCCCGCCCCCGTCCTGGTGTGAATGACCACCCCTTCTCCCACCCCACTGTGTCCAGCCTCCTCCAAACTGGACAGCTCCCCAGTGCTCTCCCCTGGGAACAAAGCCAAGCCTGATGACCACCGTTCACGGCCAGGCCGGCCCGCAGTGAGTCGTCTGATGGCAGACTTGACCTGCCCTATCCTGGTTCGGGGCTTAGGGGCAGGACATGGAGCCTCTAGAGCCCCGGGGAGCTGGGTGTCAGGGTGGGGCCTCCACTAATCTACTGAGAAGGACTGTGGGGATTGTGGGGCCAGTACTTCTCACATTACTAACCTCTCCTAACCTCTTTCCTACCTCTCCTGCTGCCCTTCTCCCCCCTGCGGCCCCTCCCAGAGCTATAAGCGAGCGATTGGTGAGGTTAGTGAGATGGGCCCGCTTGTGGGAGCCTCCTCCCGTCGCCCTGCCTGGGTCTCCCCCGGCATCCTTGTACTAACCACCACCCAGGCCTGCCTTCTGCCCTCTCTTCACACATCTCCTCCCTGCAGGACTTTGTGTTACTGAAAGAGCGGACCCTGGACGAGGCCCCACGGCCTCCCAAGAAGGCCATGGACTACTCATCGTCCAGCGAGGAGGTGGAGAGCAGCGAAGAGGATGAGGAGGAAGGCGATGGCGAGCCATTGGAGGGGAGCAGAGACACCCCTGGGGGCCGGTATGGGTTGCCTGGGGTAGGGCTTTCCCACTCAGAGGCCCAGGGAGAGAAGGAAAGTGGCAGGGGAGGAGGAGAGGGGCAATGGGACAAGTCTGGTGGGAAGTGGCCCTTCTTCTCTAGAGCAAGGGTACAGGTGTTCTGTTGCATTCCACTGCCATGTCCATTGTGGGGTGGGTCTCTTCGGGTGCCTCTGCCCCTGTGCCAGCCCGCCCTGGGTGCTATGCAGGAAGCACCTTACAGCGGAGCAGAGGCTGCTTGGTGAGGGTGGAGCATGTAATGTTTAGAACAGAGACTGAAAGCCCTAGTCTCTGGCTATCGTCTTCCTCCTGTGGCACTTCTGTGCAGGCAGGACCTGGAAGTGCCCCACCTTCCTCTCTCCTGCAGCAGTGATGGTGACACAGACAGCGTTAGCACCATGGTGGTTCATGATGTGGAAGAGCTCACTGGGACCCAGCCCCCATATGGGGGTGGCACCATGGTGGTCCAGCGTGTGAGTGGGCCTCCCCTGCCCCTCCCCAGTGCCTGCCACACCCCTTCCTTGGCCCAGTGCTGACCTTCCCTTCCATCCTGCAGACCCCTGAGGAGGAGCGGAGCCTGCTGCACGCCGACAGCAATGGTTACACAAACCTACCTGATGTGGTCCAGCCCAGCCACTCACCCACAGAGAACAGCAAAGGTCAAAGCCCACCCTCAAAAGATGGGAACAGTGATGTAAGTAGGCCAGAGGCAGGTTCATGGGAAGGGAAGAGCTTGACAGTGGGCAGGAGATCTGGGGTGCTGGGGACACGACGGGGTAGGGCAGAGCACTGTGAGCTGGATGGCCAGGGTTACCCAGTGGGGGAGCTGGGGCCTGGGAACCACAGGGGCAGGGCCGCAGGCTGGGGTCCTGCTTGTTTGCCTGACTGCTGCCCCCCTCCCCCCACCTCACCCACAGTACCAGTCTCGTGGGCTGGTAAAGGCCCCTGGCAAGAGCTCGTTCACAATGTTTGTGGATCTAGGGATCTACCAGTCCGGAGGCAGTGGGGACACTATCCCCATCACAGGTGAGGACAGAAGGACAGACCTGCCATAAGGCCGGGGTCCAGGGGCAGCCTGGAGGGGGGAACACAAGTGGTGCTTTGAAGATGTGGCCTCACAAAATGCAGGCATGAGCCCTCTCCTTTGGGCCTTATACCTTCTCTGTCAGAGAGGCAAAGGAGGGGCTTTTAGACCCCGAACAGAAGAGGGAAAAATGCTCAGTGGTCAGGGGACCTGGGCAAAAGCTCAAAACTAAGGAGTGACAGCACTAGAGCTTGAGCCAGGACTTTGGACTTCAAGTCCAGCTCTCTGTTGCATCTCTTCTGTGTGCCTCCTCTCTTCTCCAGTCTTTCCCTCCTTTCTGAGTATTCTGAGGTACGAAGGCCAGATATGGGGGATGGGGGTAAAAAGAGGGGTGAAAGGACTACAGCCCCTCCTCCTTCCTCTTCTCCTGGCAGCCCTAGTGGGTGGAGAGGGTACTCGGCTTGACCAGCTACAGTACGACGTGAGGAAGGGCTCTGTGGTTAATGTGAATCCCACCAACACCCGGGCCCACAGTGAAACTCCTGAGATTCGGAAGTACAAGAAGCGATTCAATTCTGAGATCCTCTGTGCAGCGCTCTGGGGTAAGCAGGAACTGAGATGGCTGAGAGGGGTCCGGCATGACTCCCGTGCTCTTGCTCAGGTGAGGGCCTGGCTGAGCCTCTGACCTGCCCAAGGGCTCCTGTTGCAGGGGTCAACCTGCTTGTGGGCACAGAGAATGGGCTGATGTTACTGGACCGAAGTGGGCAGGGCAAAGTGTATGGACTCATTGGGCGGCGACGCTTCCAGCAAATGGATGTGCTGGAGGGGCTCAACTTGCTCATCACCATCTCAGGTATGTGTATGGGGGATGGGGGGAGGAGGGGCTCAGCTCCTTGGCTCTCTGTCACCATCTTCGACCTGGGAGGAGGGCAGCCTTGGTCCAGGAGATGAAAGGTGGAACCACACTTTCTCACTCCATGTGGTCTTCAGACAAAGGATGGTGAGGAAGCAACATGCTGCTGGGCCTCCACTGAGGATGGGAGTGTGTGTGTGTGTGTGTGTGTGTGTGTGTCCATCCCTCAGGGAAAAGGAACAAACTGCGGGTATATTACCTGTCCTGGCTCCGGAACAAGATTCTGCACAATGACCCAGAAGTGGAAAAGAAGCAAGGCTGGACCACTGTGGGGGACATGGAAGGCTGCGGGCACTACCGCGTCGGTGAGAATGCCACAATAGAGTAGCCAAGGCACACTTGTTCATGAGCAGAGAGAAGTAGGGGCCTGAGCCAAATGGCTAAGAAAGCCTGGAAGCCAGTGACCTGGGACCCGGGTTGAGGCAGTGTAGCGACAGGCCATGGGGACGGGCTAGCCGCTCGAGAAGAGAAGCCTCTGCAACCCTCTTCTCTCCTGTCCCCAGTGAAATACGAGCGGATTAAGTTCCTGGTCATTGCCCTGAAGAACTCCGTGGAGGTATATGCCTGGGCCCCCAAACCCTATCACAAATTCATGGCCTTCAAGGTAATCCCAGCCTCCGTCCCCCGCCCCAGTGCCATTCTAGGGTCCGGTTCCTCTCCCCGAACCCCCTGAGCCCTTCTCTCCTCCACAGTCCTTTGCTGATCTCCCTCACCGCCCCCTGCTGGTCGACCTGACCGTAGAGGAAGGCCAGCGGCTCAAGGTCATCTATGGCTCCAGTGCTGGCTTCCACGCCGTGGATGTCGACTCGGGGAACAGTTATGATATATACATCCCTGTGCATGTGAGCTTAGCGGGGCTGCGGGGAGAGGGAGGTCATCCGGTCTGGGCTCCAGAAACTGGGACTCCAGCCCACTGTCTCCACCTTAGATCCAGAGCCAGATCACACCCCATGCCATCATCTTCCTCCCCAACACCGACGGCATGGAGATGCTGCTGTGCTACGAGGACGAGGGCGTCTACGTCAACACGTATGGGCGGATCATTAAGGATGTGGTGCTGCAGTGGGGAGAGATGCCTACCTCTGTGGGTGAGTGAGGTGCCGCCCGCCAAGCCACGTGCCACTGAGGTGGCCCAGGAGTGCAGCCTGGAAGTGGGACTGGGCTGTAGCCTATTCAGCCTCTCACCTGCCTTCTCCCCACAGCCTACATCTGCTCCAACCAGATAATGGGCTGGGGTGAGAAAGCCATTGAGATCCGCTCTGTGGAGACAGGCCACCTGGACGGGGTCTTCATGCACAAACGAGCCCAGAGGCTCAAGTTCCTGTGTGAGCGGAATGACAAGGTGGGAGGCTCTTTCCCTCTCAAAAGGGCCCCTGTGCTGGACTGGCTCCCATGACCATAGGCCCATGGGAAGAGTTCTAGAGGATAGGATGGTGGTAGTGTCTTCCTGAAAGGGGCCCCCTCTGGTGTGCATTCGCCACCTCTGCCTTTCCCTTCTTTTTTTTTTTTTGAGTTGGAGGCTCACTCTGTCGCCCAGGCTGGAGTGCAGTGGCACACTCATGGCCACCGCAGCCTCAACCTGCTGGGCTCAGGCGATCCTTCTGCATCAGCCTTCCAAGTAGCTGGAACTACAGGCATGCACCACCACGCTCGGCTCATTTTTCTTGATTTAACATAGAGATGAGGTCTCACCAAGTTGCCCAGGCTGGTTTCAAACCTGTGGGCTCAAGGCAATCCTCTCACCTTAGCCTCCCAAAGTGCTAGGATTATGGGCGTGAGCCACTGCATCTGGCCTTTTTTTTTTCCTGTTGAGTTGGAGTCTCACTCTTGCCCAGGCTGGAGTGCAGTGGCACATTCACAGCCACCACATCCTTGGCCTGCTGGGCTCAGGTGATCCTTCCGCCTCAGTCTTCCAAGTAGCTGAAACCACAGGTGTGAGCCACCGCACCCGGCTAATCTTTTTATTTATTGTAGAGACAAGGTCTTGCCAAGTTGACTAGGCTGGTCTCAAACCCCTGGTCTCAGGCAGTCCTCTCACCTCAACCTCCCAAAGTGCTGAGATTACAGACTTGAGCCACTGCACCCAACCTCTTTTCTGTTTCTGCTCTCTAGATGTCCTCACCTAGGGGTCTGGTTGTAGGCCCTCTTTTCCTAATGTTTCAGCCTTTCAATAGGAATGAGGGGGGCACTCTGAGAGTCTCATCCTGCAGTTTCTTTCTCTCTCTCTCTCTCTCTTTCCCTCCCTCTCTCCCCCTCTCTCCCTCTTTCCCTTTCCCAGTTAATTGAGATCCCTGCTCCCCATACCAGCCCTTGGTGACTTCTTCTCCTACCCCACCCAGGTGTTTTTTGCCTCAGTCCGCTCCGGGGGCAGCAGCCAAGTTTACTTCATGACTCTGAACCGTAACTGCATCATGAACTGGTGATGGGGTCCTGGGCTGGGGCTGTCCACACTGGACCCAGCTCTCTTCTCATAGCCAGACTTCCCAGGCCGCCCCTCTTTCCCCTCCCTGGGCTTTTGCTTTTACTGGTTTGATTCACTGGAGCCTGCTGGGAACGTGACTTCTGACCCCCGATGCTTTTGTGATCACGTGACCATCTTTTTCCCCTCAACATGTTCTTTCCCCAAAACTGTGCCTATCCCCAGCTTCTGGGGAAGGACACAGCTTCCCTTTACCAGGAACTGACTGGGTCTAGCCCCTTCTCCCCTTTCTCCACTTAAGAGGAGAGTGCTTGGGGCTTGGACCCCTTACCCCACTGCTGCTGACTGGGCAGGGCCCTGGACCCCTTTATTTGCACGTCAGGGGAGCCGGCTCCCCCCTTGAATGTACCAGACCCTGGGGGGGGTCACTGGGCCCTAGGTTTTTGGGGGTCACCAGCCACTCCAGGGGCAGGGACCATTTCTTCATTTTCTGAAAGCACTTTAATGATTCTCCTCCCCCAAACCCCAGGGAATGGAGGGGGGACCCCGCCAGCCAAAACATTCCCCATTCCCAGCCCCCATGTCCTCTTCTAGCCTC